GATATGTAAGAGACCTATGTAAGAGACCATTGCCAAATCCAAGGTCATGAAGATATGCCCATTTTCTAAAATTTTAGAAGTTTTACAATATAAGTTTTAGCTCTTATATTTAGGTATTTGATCCATTTTGAATTAATTTTTGTATATGGTGGGAAGTAAGGGTTCGATTTCATTCTTTTGCATGTAGATATCCAGTTGTCCAGCACCATTTATTAAAGACTAGTAGTCTTTCCCCCTGAAGGGTCTGTACTTTCTCGTCAAAAATCAGCTGATCATAGATGTATAGGTTTGTTTCTGGACTCTCAATTCTATTCCATTGATTTATATGCCAGTAGTAAGTTTTGAAATCAGGAAGTGTGAGCCCTCCAACTTTGTTTTGTTTTTTTTCAAGATCATTTTGGCTATTCAGATTCACAGAGTTATGTAGAGTTGTGGTCTTTATTCTAGCCTAAGGAAGCTACAGGGGGTTTGGATAAGGTCCAGGGAAGAATAATTAAAATAATTATGGGTTGTAATAGGCTATTCTTATCAGTTTGGCCTGTCTGATGGATGCTGTTATCTGGAAGGATGAGGGCTGAGAGGCAGTTTATGGTCAACTTGTAAAATCATGAAGAGTGAGGGCAGCACAGGCTTATTTGGGCACCAAATCTTGGATACTCTGGAATTGGAAGGTTGCCTGGTGACGTTTGGAAGTGTCAAGTTTAGTGTGCCTAAACAGGACAGTGCTCCACACAAGGCCTAAATTGATGAAACATATTATCCCCATGGAGCACTTAATATAAGCTAAATATCATAAATGCTGTAGCTTTAAAACGTTTTGGAACCTTCATAGACCTTTATCTACCAGACAGACAAACGTGCGTGTTTTGCAGTATGCCTCTTACCTTTTGAGGTTGGTGCCACTACCCTGCACTGTCCCACACCCCATCCCCTGTTGATGTGGTCTACGGCCTTTATTGGGCTGTGGTATGAGTCTAGCCTGTATGGTGGTTCTTAGAAATTCTCACTGAGCCACAGCCTCGCTGAGTGCCCTCCCAATGTCTGCCAGTGGCTAAGAGAGGGGACCCAGCTAGTGCTCTGCCTGCAGTGAGGCCGTCTTGCTGAGACCTGGTTGTGTCCGTGCCTCCATAGCATGTAGCTAGACCGAGTCTGCCCAAGCTGGGACTTGTCAGCCTTCCTCAAAACACAGCCTCTCTCGTGAATCAAATTTGCATTTACTTCCCACCACATACCACCTTCTAATCATACTTTGGAATTATGTTCAAATCTTGCCAGAGTGGTTTTGTTTTCAGTTCAGGTTTGACTAGCTTGTTAATAACAAAATGCTGTGCTAGTGGGAATTTCATTCTGACCACTTTTTAACTTGCTTGTATGTAAAGTGATTGTGCTACTCCTCTGTGATTGGTTTTCCTACTTGTGTTATTTCTACTGCGTAACTCGTAGGTATGTCTTGTTTACATACACACTCATGTAGACTGATTTAACTTGATGAGTGAGTCACTACGAAACAGATTATAAAGGGCTGTTATCATTAGTACAGATTTAGCTTCTCAGAGACATTGAAATTAGGTTTGTGATTTAGTGTACTAGTAAATTTATGGTAAATGTGGATGTTTTTATGATTTTATTATCACTTATTTTGATATGAAAAATTAATATTAACAGAAGACTAGCCATATGTTTGTCTTTAAAATTCAGGAAAAGGTATATAAAATTTAAAGCAGAACAACCCAGTGTTAGATCAATGATCCAAACAGTGTGAATTTAGAAACAAACTAGATTCAAATTTCAGCTGGAGGATTTTAGAGGTCATCTAGTTTAGCCCCTTCTTTCTAGTTAATCATGAGAAAAATGAGGTTCAGAGAGGTTGTGACTTGCCGAAAGCCACGCGACTAGTTACTGGCAGATCTGAGACCCAAACAGCAGTTTCTTGCTGTGGTCTTACTGAAACTTGCCACTTTCTAATTAGTGGCTAAAGAGAGACACGTTACGTCTGTGTGTTTGAATCTTACGTCGAGAGGAGAAATTAAAATTTATTGAGCACCTATTTGCTGAGCACTTTTTAAAAAATTTCATGTAATCCTTACCTAGTCCTGTAACGTAATTATGGACAGTCCCACTTTACAGATCAGGAAACCAGGGTGCCCCTGAAAGGTCCCTAACTTGCTCAAGGTCATGTGATTATATTAGAGCTGGTGTTGGAGCCTTAGGTCTTCCTGACCTGTTGCTGCCATGATACCCTGCTGTGGCTCTAGCGATTGTAACTGGAACCTTTTCGGGGGTGTGGGCAGTAGTGATGGTTATCTTAAAAACAGGTCTTTCTCAGACTTCTCACTTGTGGTAAAATACATAGACGTACACAGATGGGTGCAGAAAGAGTCTTAGCGTACCCACAGCACTTAGTGGATGTTCAGCCAATCTTTATACCATTCTGTAAGATAAATGGTATTTTTTGGTTGGGCGGTCAAAGCCCAGATAGAGTCAGGGACTTGCTCAATTCCTTATCACAAACCCACATGGCCCTGCTCCCAGTTCCGTTCTTAGTCCCGTCTAGCATAGATTTCACCACTTTTGTTCTTTCCTGTCTTACACCAAGATTGTTTAAGTACTTCCCAAAAATAATGAGCCACGTGTGGATGTGTTCATTCTCCAGAATGAATCACTGTGAAAGGGGCTATGAACCAATGAACGGAGAATAAGTATCTGGAATCAGAGACTCCTGGCTCTCCTGCCTGCTAATTGACAGACTCTGAAGTGATCTTTTTTTCCAAAGGCGGCTGTGGGTCTGGCCTGTGTATCCCACTGTGCTCAGAATAGCCCTCTTGGAGTTGTTGGCTTTCCCTTCTCGCTTCCCAAAATAGACCCAATGCTGTTCTCTTTACTGGACGTCCTCACGCATGTACTGAGAGGTGTGTGCACCATGGGGAACCCTTCTGTGCTTGAATGTCCCCACTGACACAAAAGGGAGTGGGCATTAGCTTTCCTGGATTAACAGTCAGGACTCCAGCATGAGTAAGAGAGGCTTGGATTGCTTAATCGGAAGGTCACAGAAGTACATTTAAGTTAGCAAGAGGAATAAAAGAGGGAGCAAATAAATGAGGCATTTCCTACGTTTTCCTTGTGTCTAAAAGGGTTGGGATTTAAATTTAGGAGGGATTTACTTTTTTCTTTTTTTCCCTTTTTATTTATTTATTTAAAAAAAATTTTTTTAAATTATTTTTTATTGTGAAATACACATTTTTTAGAATTAGTTACAGCTGGGGAGGGATTTACTTTTAAAATTCCTTTTATGGTTTGGATTCTAGTCTAAAGGGTACCTGCTTTTAACTTCTGCCTTTAAAATGTAACACTACCCAAACCCTTCTGCAGGTAGCTGCATGTTTTGGAATTTCTCCCAGAAGAAAGGGATCTGATCAAATACTGTGAAAAAAAATACCACAGGCCACGTAGTGAAGATGTACACTGCTGTTTACCTGTCAATGCTGTCTCTCCTTTGTTTCCTCTGGTGGGGATGGCAAGGGATTGTGTCATTTATAGAAAGCCCGAGGAAGGAGGGGTTGGACACCGAGAGAGTTCAAATCTGTCTTTGGATTTGAAAGGCCAAGAGATGCCTTCCAGTGTATCGAAGGAAGAGACAAAGATAGACTGTTTACAGCCTAGAGGGATGCGTTACCACAGGCTGGTTTTTCATGGGACTGGTCGTGCATGTCTCTTCTCTAGGAGCCTTAGTTTGAATACATTCTCACTTGGTATCCAGGTAGTATTCATTTAGTGTTCTGCCTGGAACCTGGGTGGGCCCTGCCACCTCCATCTCCTGATGGACAAGTGCTTCATGCAGTGCTGTGAGTCCCAACCTAAGGATTCTAGTGGCTACAGTCACACTCCTGCCCATCCCAAGGGTCAGGGCTAGGTTAGGCTCATGGGAGACAGTGTTGGGGAGAACCAACTGCTGCTGTCTGTGCTATTCTTGTTAGACAGATAAATAAAGGATTTCAGACTCCAGGGCTGCTGAACTGGCTGTCAGAGGCACCAAATTCATTTACAGTAATTTCCTGTCAACAGTACACACTTACGTATAATACACACCCAGCAAGACTCAGAGATGTCTAGTCCCAGAGATGACTGCGTACACTATTTGAAAAAAAAACACAAAAATTTTATATATTAACGTGTGTGTGTGTGTGTGTGTGTGTGTGTGTATAACATTCTTTAAAGTTATACTCAAGGGCCTTTCATAGTGGGTTAAATTTATTGAGCGCTTTTTATGCATGAGGTCATTTAATCCTTACAATAACTTTATGAGGTACTGACCAATATCCTCTTTGGAGGATATAGTTTTTGCCTCTCATGAGGGGCACCCCTGCCATGGACTAAAGGAAGAGGGTGTTGTACTAGTCGGGAAGCTTTCAAAGGGAGTGAATTTTAAGCTGAATTTTAAAGGATTTCTTGGAATTAGCCAGAAAAAAAGCATCGCAGCAAAAGAATGTATGAGAGCATGCAGACTGCATTCAGGAAACTGGGCTGCCGAGTGCTGGAGAAAGGAGGTGGGGGTGATGAAGGCTCCTAGGAACCGTAGGTGGTTTGGGATAGAGTTTGTATATGTGTGTTGGGGCAGAGACGTATATTCTCCAAAGGGAAGGTGCCTTCCACTCATGCTCAGGCATCTAAATTGAAAGGAAACCCTTTCCCAGTCACATAATAATTTGTAATAACTCTAAGTCTAAGGCAGAGTTCAAAAAAGTAGTTTCTCTGTGTCTCACAGGCATAAAATAGAGCACTTAGAGGAAAATGGTGGGGCCTAAAAAGCCTTGTTTGTGTGCTAAAGAAACAGGTGAAAAGGTTGCGCCCTCATTGAGGATATCTTTCTGGCCCCATCTCTATAAAAGCTACTTATTTTGGAACAAGTATGCTAAGGGATTATATTCTAAGTCTGGAAAAGGACCTAGGGTAAGATCCGATCATTGATGTCAACGTCTCCTCCCAAATTTCCTGCAGCTCTGCTGTGTACGTGCACCAGCTGCCTACAGGCCAACTCCACGTGTGAAACAGATGGGGCCTGTATGGTTTCCATTTTCAACCTGGATGGGATGGAGCACCATGTGCGCACCTGCATCCCCAAAGTGGAGCTGGTCCCCGCTGGGAAGCCCTTCTACTGTTTGAGCTCCTCGGATGTACGCAACACCCACTGCTGCTATACTGACTTCTGCAACAAGATCGACCTGAGGGTGCCCAGTGGTGAGTGGACACCCTTGTTGGACTATTGGCTCATCTTGGAGGTAGGGCACCCCTGTCATTTCATCCTTCTCTACTCTTTCCCAATCCCTTTGATGATAGGTAAAGGTACCTTTCTTATATTCCCCAAGATGATAAGGGATGGGATTCCTCCCACATCAGGTTTGTAGATTAGAGAATGAGGGACACAGATTGTCAAGCTGGTCCTAGAGGTGAAAGCTGCATTTTGGATAGTGGCTGAGCGGTCATAGGCAGCTGTTGAGTGGGGCTATCCAGACAGGGATCCCAGGGGAGGGTGTGGGACTGATCCTGAAGGAGGCAGCCCCAGGGCCGTGTGAAGATAGCTGCTGGGGTAGGGTGAGGGCAAAATGGGAGGAGGGGCTAGAATTGGGCAATAAGGACAGTGATCAAGGCTGTGGAGTATTAGATCCCACCCCTTTGCAAATCTACCGTTTAGAAGGTATTACTGGGGAGATCAGAGGAGGGAGAGACCGGAGCAGAGCTTAAGGAAGCTGTTATGAATTGAAGAGTAGAACCTGGCATCTGTCTGGGGCACTGAGTGGGAATAGTACCATGACATGCTGTGAAATTACAAAGTAGGTTGTAGGTTTGACTGCTGCAAAGGGCTCCTTCACTAGAGAGGTTTGCGTTTGCGTTTGAGAGCATCCAGGCAGACAAACGAGCCCCGTAAGACCAGAGAGATCAAAGACACCTTGACTTGAACACGGGGAGAGGGAAAGGGCATTTTCACTTGGAGGGAGGCGTTGGGGATGAATAAGGCCCACACGTTCCCTTGTTTTTACTCTCTGTTCTTTCCCTCTCCTCTCTCACTCGACCAGGTCACCTCAAGGAGCCTGAGCACCCTTCCATGTGGGGCCCTGTGGAGCTGGTCGGCATTATTGCCGGCCCAGTGTTCCTCCTGTTTCTCATCATCATCGTTGTTTTCCTTGTCATTAACTATCATCAGCGCGTCTATCACAACCGCCAGAGGCTGGACATGGAAGATCCCTCGTGTGAGATGTGTCTTTCCAAAGACAAGACGCTCCAGGATCTTGTCTACGATCTCTCCACGTCAGGGTCTGGCTCAGGTACTGAGCTCTTCAGGCCTTGTGTCTTTTGTTGGCCTTCATCGCTGCTTCCCAGCAGGATAGGGTGTTTACGTAAAAGGCTGGGCCTTGCACTTGTTTCTAGCAGCACTGAGTCATTTGGTTTCATACTTCCTCTTCTTTTGGAGTCTGACATGTAATAAGATAAGATAATGGGTTCACAGAAATCTTTCATTCCCTGGGATTCCAAAGGTCAAATGCAAAACTCTCCATTCCAGAAGCCATGCCTCTTTTCAAGTCCTGTAACCATCCAGCTACAGGACAAATTCACCTGGTTCCACCTGAGCAGCGGAGTGCTCAATTTAAGGGCCCCTTTTGAGAAACAGGAGTGTGCCGAGTTCCTGTGAGGTGGTGACAGCTAATCATTGATCTCTGAGCAACCACAAGGGGAGTTTAAGGACACTGAGTAAAGCTGAAAGCTGGGGTTTGGTGAATCATTGACTTGTACCAGCTGCCCAGGGGTTTGTGGTGGGGGCTTAAATAAAGGCAGCTTGGGCTTCCAGCATGGCATCGGCACCATTTCCTGCACTGCCTGTTGGTAACCAAGTCTTTCTTAGATGAGGGGGTTGAACCAAACAATGGACCTTGATGTGAAACCAGATTTTAAGGTAAAGTGAATTGGATTGTTCAGGTCTCAGGGTATATAGCTTAGCTAGCTATTAGATGTGAAAATGACTGCAAAAGAGTCTTTTTTTTGAAGATAAACAATTATTTTAGTGATGGCGGTATTCTTGTTAAAACAAACAAAAAAAATCATCCACAGAGGTCACTTTTGCCATTCTAGCAAAAACATAGAATCATACTGGTGAGAATTTTGTGTTTATGTATGTTTCCTAGCCATGTGACAAGACTTCTGTAGGGAAATTATCCCATCAGTCATGGCTAGACATTCCTCTTTGAACACAGGAATACTTTGAGCTGTGACATCTTTTGAATTTAAAAACTGCATATTTTTAGGAAGAGAGGACATGTATGGCTTGTTCTTCGCTGAAAGAGGTAGGGCAGTGGTTAAAACTGGGCGACTGACTCTGTGACTTTGCTGCTATAGGAGGGAGGGTAGCTCGAGTTTTCTGGAGTCTGTTTTTAAAGATCAGAACTAGCTGAGATTTGGGAAGGTCCACGGCAGTTACTAAACTAGAGTAAAATGATTAGTAACTATTTCTCTCTGGATGTTTTAGTCCATTCTTAATTCAGAATATGCAGAGCTTCCAAAGTGTTGAAGTTTTAATACTGTGGATTTAAAGTAAATAAGTCCTTGCTGCTCATGGGACTGACTCAGTTCGCCTGAACAAATATATGTTGAATACCCGCTCAGTGATTCAGGGTAAACAGAGATGAGAAGGAGGCTGAGCCAGAGTTGGATAAAAGAGACAGGGATTGTTGAGAAGGGTCTCACATGGGAGGATGCATTCTAAAGGGTCTTAAAGACTGAGCTCAAAGTTTTAAGAGAGGTGAGAGGGCAGGGAACATTCCAGGCCAAGGAAAATCCCTCGAGCAAAAGGACAAAAAGGCATGAAAGTTCACCCAGTGTTTAGGAAATGATAAGAAGGTCGCATGGCGTGCCCACACTGGGGATGGGGAGAGGCAGGCTGACGAAGGTGGAAAGGGCCTTGGGTGCCGTGCTTTATGTCACAGGACGAGCGGCATCTACTGACAGGTTTCATGGGGGGAAAGAGATGTTCATGTTTTCCTGTGGAAGGAGTTCCAGCAGTGGTTTGGAAGATCATTCATTCCTTTACCACCCTCCTGTTAGGAAGGGCAGGGTGAGGCAGGACTGTGTGTGGGTTGCAGGGCAGGAGCAGGGTGAGCTGGGAGGCAGAAAGACCAGTTGCAAGTGTTTTAAAGATGGGCCAGAACTAAGACTGGCTCAAAGGGGATGGGGAGAAGGGGCCTAATTTGAGAAACATTTTGGTGGTTCTGTACTGTTGTAGTTAAAAGCATGAACTTTGGAATCAGTCCTAGATTTTAAACCCTGCTTTGTCACTTACTGCTTGTATGAATTTCTTTACCCTTTTGAGCCTTAGTTTTCTCATCTGTTATATGGGGATAATAACAATACCCATCTTATAGGCGGTTGTGAGGAAATGAGATAATTTATGTAAAGCCCTTATTAGCATAGTGCCTAATGCATAGTAAGCGTAGTTCACATCCACAAGAGTTAGGGATTAATAACATTTATTTATTTATTGGTCAGGGAGAGGAAGTGAGAGAGCTAAGAGTCATGATGGTAAGAGTGAATGGATAGATTGGGAGACATTGAATGAGTCAAATGAGGCAATAAATGAGTCCTATAAAGACAGTAAAATTAATCTTAGAATAAACATGGGTAGTCTCCCATTCTACATCTAGAGCTCCTCCTATGAGCAGAAGTTTAATCTCTTTGAAGAGGGAAGAAACATTATATGCCCGGACCACAATTTGGCTTTCATGGACCACACAGCACCGCCCTCTAGTGGCCAAGGAGCAGAGCTGCCAGAAGGCAGTCCCAGTGCTCAAGCCCTACTTGAATCTCTTCTGCCCTCTTTCTGCTTCCAACAGCATGAGGCAGATGTGGGTGGATTGGCCTACAAGAGGCTGGCTGCAAAGTTGGTAAATCTGGTCAGGCATTTATATTCAAACCTGTCATCCACACTAACTGAGAGGACAAATTACTTAGATGAGGAACAGCTAATCCTATGCATTTCCCTTTCCCTGTTCACTCACTTTCAGTCACTGCTTGGCTTAGCTTTCTGGTAGATTACCTGGACATGGTACAGGGCAGCTGCAGCTCTTCATGGTCAGTGGACCAGTGTAACATGAGGCACTGTGGGTAAGGGCTTTTCCAGTGTGGCAGTGAAAGTGGGAGTTACAAAGTTTAGCAAATTTACAATGTCTGCTTTCTTTCCATTCTTTGGTCCATAGGGTTACCCCTTTTTGTCCAGCGTACCGTTGCCCGAACCATCGTTTTACAGGAGATTATTGGCAAGGGCCGGTTTGGAGAAGTGTGGCGTGGCCGCTGGAGGGGTGGTGATGTGGCTGTGAAAATTTTCTCTTCTCGTGAAGAACGGTCTTGGTTCCGGGAAGCAGAGATATACCAGACAGTCATGCTGCGCCATGAAAACATCCTTGGATTTATTGCTGCTGACAATAAAGGTAAAGGGCTAAGTTTGGATACAGGGTGTCCGAAAGCCAACCCTAGTCCCAGATGGAGGGGCGACTGGGGACAGCACAGCTCTGCTTGCCTTCATAGGCACTACCCATAGAAAGGAAAATCTAAATAAGGTAATAGTTTTCAAACTTATCTTCTACAAAAAGCTTATACAGAAACCCAGGTTACTAAGCAAGTAAATAAGCAGTTATTAAGCAGAGAAACAAGATAAACCTGTTGCCCTGCCTGTTCACTTTCCCTTCCATGACATGCCCAAACCCACCCCCAGGGTAGTCCCTGGAGGACCCCGGGAAAGGATGGCCCCAGAAAAGCGTGTCATCCACATTCTGTGACATACCAGCAGCAGACACACTTTTGCAGTGGAGCAGGCGCATCAGAAGGATGACCTCTCTGCCCGCAACGTGCTGCTCTATGGCCTCCAAGCTCAGCTTTGGGTTCACTGTACCCGAGGTTCCTTATTTCCTCCTTCCTCTCTCTTCTGTTTTTGCTTTAGTTTTTGAGTCTTTCTTGTGTGGGCAGGCAAATCCACGTTTTTGAGGACCTCACTGACTAGTAAAGAGACAAAGTAATGAATAAATTATAGGAAGTAATAAAAAATGAGCTGTTCTAGTGAGCACAGTTGGGGGTGAGGTGAGGGACAGAGAGGTCACACCTGAGTTTGAGGCCAGAAAAGCCAGTGGAAGGGCACTCCTGACCCATGTGCAAAGGGGAAGTGTGTTTGGGAACTTGCAGGTGACTTGGGATGGTTATGTCACAGCAGAAGACAGCGGAGAGGTCATAGAGGCCAGACTATGATGGCCTTTTTGAGAGGATTGTATTTGATTCTGAGATAGTGGGTAGGAACTGAAATTTCATTCATCGGTTCAATAACACTGTTGAGCCCTGTGGGCCAGGACCTCTGCCAGCTGCTTGGATCATCACACATAAGAATAAGACACAGTCCCTGCCCTCACAGCTCGCAGGAGGAGGGGACAACAGACACGTGGGCAGGCAGTGCACTTGAAGTCAAAGACCACGAGGTGATGATGGGCTTTACATTTTAGACTCTGGCAGCGACGACACACTCTGCTCCCACAGCAATTTTTAGAAGTTCCTGTCTACAAAGCCTATGGAAGATGCTGAGTATTTATTTTTCCTTCCGAAAACACCAACAGACTGTTCATTCCTTACATTGCTGTGGGGGTTTGTAGTGACCTCAGCTGCCCGCAAGCTGAAGGGTCTTGGACTCGTACACAAGGGAAGAAGGGGAGGAGAGGATTTTTACTCCTCCTGAATTGGCTGCTCCTTTTTCAAACAGCATCACCTTTGGATAAAATTTAAATCTTACATATATTTTTAAGAATCATAAGATGTCTTCCCTTTTAATTTATTGGCAGGGCCCTCAAGACTTTGGGCTGGTTGGAGGGTAAGAGGGGTGTGTGGGGGAGACCCCTTGTTGACAACCAGGGATGCCAAAATTGGTGCTTTTCCCGGAGCCACTCCCTTTATTGATTCTGGCAGCTGTGTGAGTAGGGATCGGCTGTTGAAACCCACGTTAGGACCAGGGGAGGAGAAAAAGCAGACTCCTTCATTCTTGCCTTTTTAACACAATATATATAGTGTAGTGTCCTGGAACTAGCACCAGTCTGGAATTGGGGAGATCTCAATTCAATTTCCAATTTTCCTATTGACCGCATCATAACCTAATTAGATTTTCTTTTTCTCCCTCTCTTCCTTCTCCTCCTTTCCACTGCATGAGTACGTGGACGGGGACACACACACACACACACACACACACACACACACACACACACACACACACACATACACACATATCACCCCCCACCTCCCACCCCCATGTGTAAAAGTGTATGCTGTCCGCCTTTCGTTGTTCTTCTGAGGATAAGGTGACCTCTCTGGAATATTTGGACATGTGTTCTTCATACACTGAAAAGTGTTTTTGGTCTGAAATACAATAATGCACAAAGGAGCCCTTTCCTACTCTCATAGAGAGCTCATAGCCTGGTAAGAGTAAAATGGACTTAGGAAAGAAATGCTACAAATGAGACAGGTGTTGGGGCAGGCTGTGCTCAAAGGAGACAGGTGTTGGGGCAGGCTGTGCTCAAAGGCACTTCCAACACAGAACACAGAGAAGGGTCTGCGAAGCCTTACTCTTCAGTGGTGGTGGATGCAACCACTCATGGTTGCGAGTGTGTTGATGAGCAGGTCCTGTCAGAATCAGAAGCACTCCTGCAGTCGTCACCTCTTCCTTTCCCTAAGCACACACTTCCTCTTCTCCTGGATGCCTCACATCTCAAATTTGGTGTCAGAGTGGAACAGTGTTCAGAAGCCCACAGCTACCTACAAGAAATAAGCGAGCAGTTCTAAGAAATAAATGTTGTTCTTCTGTCCTTCCTGGAGCCTAAAACCGGTAGACACCTGTAAATGAAACAGGCAAGAAGGGGGCCTAGGGACGTGTGGAGACGAGAAGCAGGAATTCAGGAGTCTAACTGGAGTCTGTGTGGTACATAGTCTTCCCTTCCTGCCTTAACCTCTCTGGTTGTGCCTTTTCTGTAACTCCTCTGTGCTTCTCAACAGATAATGGCACCTGGACCCAGCTGTGGCTCGTCTCGGATTATCATGAGCACGGCTCCCTGTTTGATTATCTTAACCGGTACACAGTGACAATCGAGGGGATGATTAAGCTGGCCTTGTCTGCTGCCAGTGGGCTGGCACACCTGCACATGGAGATTGTGGGCACCCAAGGTGAGTGGACCCATCCGAGGGACAGTGGAGTTGGGTGGGCTTTAAAAGCTTATTCCACCCTGATTTAGTTCCCAGAACAACTTTTTACTGAGATAGTTGGAGCTGTACCTCAGGAACTGTAATCTAAAGGAGAGAGGTTTGAACTTGACTGGAATGAAGACAGGGGGATCTCCAGGGGGATTCTCTCCACCTGTCTACATAACTCCGTTAGGGATCCTGATGCAAATGTCTGGTTATTTTTCATTCCATGGCCTGACAAGTTGTTGGTGGGTGAACTAGAGGTCATTGAGTGATCATCTCAGAAGCCCACAGTGCATATGTGAAAGAGTGAAACTAAGAAAACTCAACACACTCATGAGACAGGAGCTTCAGTTTAGTAACTTCACACTTTCATTGTTGGGGACAGCTTGGTGGATTAGACACTGGGCTTTGCTAATCTAGGAAGGTTTTCCTGGAGGAAAAAAACCTTGGGCATCCCTGCTTGTTGACTGTAACATCAGCTTTGAGGAAATCCTGGATCTGGTTGTGGTAGCAGGTGTGCTCCCTGCTGCTTGCCTCACCAGGGCACCAGCACTTGCTGGCCATGACAGAAAATCACCCTCTAGAGTTGGGTCCTGTTCGCCGCCTCCGTGGTGATATTAGCAGTCCTTATTAATTAGTGATTTTGTTTGATTCTGAGAACCTAGCCAGCGCAGCAATGTTTCTTTGAATTCCTCAGCAATTCAATACTGGAGCATATTAGTCCAGGGAAGGCAAGTAGTAGTAGTGTTAATAGTAATATTAGCTAATACGCATGCCCTTCTAAGCTCTTTACTTACATTAATGCATTTAATCCTCACAACATTCCCATAAAGTAAGTACTGGTGTTAGTCTTGTGTTATGGATGAGAAGACCAAGGCACAAATGGGTTAAGTTGCTTTTCCTGGGTTACTGGGTTAGTGGGAGTCAAAGCCAGGACTCGAACCCATGCTGTCTGGCTGCAGAGTCTATGCTTTTAACATTTTTTTGCTATCTTTCTTTAAAGATCCCTATTTTTTCTCTCCAGGGAAGCCTGGAATTGCTCATCGAGACTTAAAGTCGAAAAACATCCTGGTGAAGAAAAACGGCATGTGCGCCATTGCAGACCTGGGCCTGGCTGTCCGTCATGATGCTGTCACCGACACCATTGACATTGCCCCAAATCAGAGGGTGGGAACCAAACGGTAGGAAGGCCCGGGGCCTCTGCCCTTACCCTACACTTGTACCAAGTAGCCCATATGTGACCTTCCCCATTGCACAGGAGGAGATGTAGAGAAAGGAAGTGTGGCCTTGCTCTCGGACAGCCAAAAGTTGAATTGAACACCCCCTCCCCACATGGAAAGGCATTGGAGACGAGCCTTACATCCAACAGATATGAGTGCCAAGAGCACAGCTCCACAGAACTGTATACATGGAGGTGTTGGTGTCGGGAAGAGGAAGGCAGCGGAGAAAAAATCTGGAGCAAGATTTGGAGGGGGCATGGGCACCAGGCTTGTTTGAGGGAAAAGGGGAATGTTGCCAGCCAAAGGGGTGGATTGTACAGAGACTTCTGAGAAGGCAGGAGGTGTGTTTTGCTTGGGGTTCGGAGAGCAGGTTTGCCAAGCCAGAGCAGAGGTAATCTAGGGTGGAACTTGGGACACCCTAAGGATTATGGGTCTGCCTCCTGCTTTATACAGAAGTAAAGAGTAAGGAGTTGTGGTTGCAGATTGACAGTTTCCAAAATGGAACTGTCTTTTAATAGGATGGAAGAGGAGCTCCGTTTATCTGCTGAATCTCAGTGACTTTCACTGAATTGTGCTGCTGCTTTTTTGCCTTCCTTTTGACCTGAATGCATGACCCAGGCCCCAGAGTATGAGGCCTGAGGTGATCTCCTGATTCGCCGTACTCTGTGTGTGTGCGCCTGCGTGCATGTGTGTAGAGGCGGGTGGCTCTAGTAGTACTAATTAGCTGAAGGGGACTTAGATGACTATCTAGAATTAATTTTCACATGTCTACAATTAGGTAAGATAACAAAAGAAATGTAGGATGAAATTGAAGCTCAACTCATCACTGTGGCTGCATTTAATAAAGTCCAAGACCTCAGTAGCAATCAGATATTATGTACTGTTAACTGCCCTGTGACCCAGAGCACAAGTACCTCTGCCAAGAAATCAAAGTATGCCAAAAACAATCTTGATGGTTAAAAAAGCAGAGGTAACCTAGCATCACCAAACCTATGCTGAAGTGTTTAGATTTGAATCCAAAACACATGGGAGTTTGTAATAAAGAGAGTTGGTCACTTTTTCTTCCTCAATGAGCTTTCTTGGGGTGATGCTCACCCACATTCAGAGGGTTCCTGAACCAATACTTTGACTTAAGGAGAGAAGTCATCTTTTTCTATGTGTGATCATGTTTCCTTTGCTGTTGCAGATACATGGCCCCTGAAGTACTTGATGAAACCATTAACATGAAGCACTTTGACTCCTTTAAATGTGCTGATATCTACGCCCTCGGGCTTGTATACTGGGAGATTGCCCGAAGATGCAATTCTGGAGGTACCTTTCCTTTCTGCATTCTCTTGCTCCTGCCTCCCGGTCCAGGATGCTGGATCACCTGAGGGTGCTGGTGTTCTGCCTCCTCCTCTCTTTTTACGACCTGTTGGATGCCTAGTGCCAGAGCCCATCACACTTAGGGTTCTCATCAAAGATGAGGGAACCCTGGAAGCAGCCGTACGAAGGGTGTGTTTGCTCTTTAGACCAGCTTCTGAAATAGTGTTTTACATTGTGGCAACCATTCAGGAGGCTAATTCGGTGGTTTGGTTTTTTTTTTAAAACACACATTGTTTGTATTGGTCTATGAAGGTTGGGAAAGCCCCGGGCAGAAATAGCACAGGACTGATGCAGGGGTCTCCTTTATACAGGAGGCAGTAGATGCTTAATACACTGGCTCTCAAGTTACGTTCCTGGGGAACATGGGGTTCACTGATAAAATAATAGTGGTGATTTCTCAATTTGTAGGAAAAGGCTAAATGTGTAGAATTTTCTCAAAATGAATTTTTTTCTCCTGTATTTCTTTTTAAAATCTTTGGAATTTGCAACTACTCACTCATGTCAGAGTCCAGTAAAAGGTTGTATCATATTTAGCAGAAAACAGTTTTATCATTAGCATAGTAACATCAGTATTTTATAATGACTTTAAAGTATTCTATCATGTGATCAAGTTCAAGACCCACTAGAACCCCACCCTCAGACATTTCTCTCTGATATAAGAGATTATAGGTCAATGGAAGTGAATTAGATGAAATTAAAAATAAATAATTAAAAAGAACTAGTGAGTCTTCCAGCAGAACCCTTTTCTATATTATTGCCTTTTTCATCTATATGTTTGGTAAGATACAAATTATGGAGAAGCCATCCAGGTATTATTCATGGAATTATACTTCTTTTAAATTTTGATGATTATATACAGAAAGCAGATTAAGTAAAATCTGGTCACACAGGTCTTAACCTGAATAAGTTAATTTTTTCTTCCTCATATTATCTAGAAATGGAGGCTACGTGTATAATGATAATGCTAACATTCACCACTTGTTATGTATAAATTTATTTAATCTTTTTTGCAAACCTATAAAATGGGTACTATTGTCACCATTTTGCAGATGAAGAAAATGATCACAGAGAAATTAGGTAATTTGTTCAAGGTCACACAGCTAATAAACTAGGATTCAAACTCTGGCAGACTAAGGCCAGAGCTTAAACTCTTAGCTAACCCTTAGATAATTACTAAGTTGGATTCTATTTAAAAATCTTTCCCATTAGCTCAGGACAGCAGGATTTTTCCTGGAAAAAGGCACAAGAAAGCTTGTGCCTTTGGATTTTTGAAATTAACTTTTCATTGTGGAAAATATTTTAGTTTGTAGGTCTAAAAGATAAGGACTTTAAAAATATAATACTCTTATCACACTTTAAAAAACAAACATTGGGGCCAGCCAAGGGGCTCAGTTGGTTAAGAGCTCTGAGCAACAGGGTCGCCGGTTTGATTCCCGGCCCAAGCTGAGCTGCCGCTGAGCTGCCAACAGGTGGCACGGTGGCTCAGCTAAAAAAAAAATGAACATTAATTATTGATATCATTTAACATCAGTCAGTGTTGAGAGTTCCCCAATTTTCTTCTAAATTTTTTTAAAACAATTTGTGCAAGTCAGGATTCAAATAATTTTAATCCATTGTAGTTGATTGATGCACCGCTTAAGTCTCTTATAACCTACAGGTTCCACCTCCAGTGTTTTTCTTTTTTAATTGGAGAATCCAGTCGTTTGTCCTGTAAAGATTTCCTGTCTAAATTTTGCTGGTTGCCTTTTCGTGGCGTTCACATGGTCTACTGTTCCTGTGAATTTCCTATGATAGCTAGATCTAACAACTAGAAACACACACACACACACACACACACACACACACTCACACACACACACAAATTCACACACACTCTCACTCGCACACTTACTTCCCCTCCCCCCCACCAAAAATCCTTCTGTTATAAGGCACATAATACTAGCTATCTCTCTCTCTCTCTTTTTTTTTTTTTTTTTTAGCTGAGCCATCCTGCCATCTGTTGGCAGTTCAGCTCAGGGCTGGACTCGAACCGCTGTTGCTCAGAGCTCAAACTCCTGAGCAAGCTCTTAACCAACTGAGCCACTCGGCTGGCCCTTATCTCTCTTTTTTTGTGATGTTAATGGCCATTGATGATCATTGTTCAAATCCAAATTCATTAGAGGTTGAAAAATATTAATATTCTAATTCTGTCAATCTTCATGTATTAGCTAGATTTCTTCTTGAAAGAGAAACTTCCTGTAATGATCTGTTTGGTTACCAAGATGTATAGTTTGACTAGGAGAAGCAAGAAAAATATTAATTTCCATTTAACATTTTTCAAAATCACGAGTTTGTTCCCTATCATCCTACAAAGGTGACTGAGGTTTTGGGGTTTTTTGTTGTTGTTGTTGTTTAGTATCGTTATGGACTGGTGGATTTTAAATATTTGATGGCATTGAAGGTATTAGTCTTACTGTTGCTTAAATGTTCTCATCTTTGGCTAGTTGGGAGCTTTTCAAGTGGGTGCCTTTTGACTTGACCTCAGTCGTCTTTGATAGTTTCCTTGCTTTTTGGTATGAAAAAGATGTTCCTGGCTAATCTTGTCCCATAACTAGATCAACGAAGCTCTCCAAGGAGCCATGGTCCCTTTTAGTGGAAAGTAGTATTTACAGATCACAGTGTGGTTGTTCTTGTTGGCTTTTGAGTAATCAGTTCCTTCTTTTGGTAACTGAGGTGGATGTTTTCTTTTCACCCAGGAGTCCATGAAGAATATCAGCTGCCATATTACGACTTAGTGCCCTCTGACCCTTCCATTGAGGAAATGCGAAAGGTCGTATGTGACCAGAAGCTACGTCCCAACATCCCCAACTGGTGGCAGAGTTACGAGGTAGGAAGCTCCCCTGCCTGGTGCCGCTTTCCCACCTACCTGATTCCTCTACCTTACCTGACCATGGGCCAACCTCCGAGGGTAACCCTAAGTGTGTCAGTATGATATACCATTATGTGCTATTATATACTAAGCCCTGAGGGGCCACAGTCCCTTGTCCTGGGCTCTGTAGGGTCCCCTTCGGAATGGACAGCCTAGTAGAAGAAAAAGGTCCCCAGGACACAGATAAGAGAGGTAGTCAATGAGAAACAGTAACCAAAAAACCGCACAGGAGCTGTTAGACCTGTCTAACTAGAAAATGGCTCTGGAGCCACTGGGGTGAGCTGAGTGCTGTGGCCAGGTGAATAAAAGGCCTTCATGAGGGGTGTAGAAGAATAAGGGCCTGGACTTAGTGAGGACACGTCTGTGAGGGAGTGGCCTTGTGAACACCTCAGAAGGGAGGAGAGTGTGGTGAGTATGAATTTGGTAGAGAGGGCAGATGAAGCGAGGAGAGGACAACATTTGGTGGAAAGAATTGATATGAGGACAAATTATGGTACAGATTCCTAATAAACATGGAGTTCTGGGGTCTTAAGAGTCTTCAGGGGAAATCGGGTTTGCCTAGCTAAGTGCACTTGGCTTCCTTTTCCCTCAGGGCTCTGCTTTTAAGGACTGTAACCACTAGAGGGCATTTCTGCGTTGAACAGAATGACTTAGTTCACATTTTAGGTGATGCCTTCTCACTACATTTTCCAAACGGTTCCTTGGAACCCCTGGGTTGGGTTTACTTCAAAGGGTGAGTGTGAGGCCAGAAGAACAGGTTTTACTGCCCTACCCCACTCCCTCTTCAGTCAGCGCTGCTTCTATGTTGGGGCTCCTGCCATGGGACTTAGACAGGTGGGTTCCACTGCTAAAAGGAATTTGAAAACCACTGGCCTAGGGCAGCAAGTGGGGAACTTGGCAGTAGGTGACCTTCCGTATCGCCTCTGGGTCCGGCCACTGTGGTCTAGGCAGTGGCAGTGTAGCTTTCTACCTCTGACAAGATTGCTTTCAGGGCCTACTTTCCTGCTTCTTCACCACCCCCCATCTCAGCTGGGTGCATGCACATGCCACAGTGTGTCCCTGGTTCACATGCTACTTTTTAAAAGAACAGGGAACAGTCATAAAAATGGATTCTCAAACCTGACAGAAATGATGTTCAGATCAGGCTGTTGCGGGTATTTCTTTCAAGATCACCCAGATGGTGGAGAATGGCTGACTGTACTTGCAGAGAAGGTCTCCCCTCTCCAGGCTACTGCTTTCTCCTTTCGCCTACTCAACCTGTCCGCTAAGGAAGGGTGAGTCAAGGGGAGAGGGAAGTTTGCAAAGCGTTTCCCTAGGGTCAGAGTGGGAAAGGAGATTCTGACAGACTTTGCACTGAGAAATGAGGACAAGCCTAGGGCCCAGAAAGCTTGCACAGGGCCGCGTCACATTGATGTCCTCTGGGTCTCTGTGCAGGCGTTACGAGTGATGGGGAAGATGATGCGAGAGTGTTGGTACGCCAACGGTGCGGCCCGCCTAACTGCTTTGCGCATTAAGAAGACCCTCTCCCAGCTCAGCGTGCAGGAAGATGTGAAGATCTAACCCTGCTTGCCTCCCCCTACATTGCAACCCTGGGCAGCGAGGACTACACACAGAGCTGCCATGTTGAGCGTATGATGGAGGCCTACCTCTCGTTTCTGCCCAGCCCTCTGTGGCCAGAAGCCCTGGCCTGCAGGAGGGACAGAGCCCGGGAGACCCACCCACTCCCACATTGGGTTTGAGACACAGACACCTTTTATATTTACCTCCTAATGGCATGGAGACTCTGAGAGCGAATGGTGTAGAGAACTCAGTGCCACAACTCAAACTGGTTGTAGTGGGAAGTCCTACAAACCCGGTGCATCTGGCGTGTAGCCAAGAGTGGTGACCGGGTGGCCTGGGAGGGCCCAGGCGAAGCCGTGTTGCCAGTGCTAAGCAGCACTGAGGGCTTTCCTCCAGGGACCAACCCCAGCACACCGAGGTGGCCCAGAGGAACCAGAGGCGCAGCCCCTCTCGCAGGCAGCTCTGGGCCCCGTGTTGTGCCCTCACACGGACATCTGGAGGGACTGCCGGTGGAGACAGAAGCTGCTTCCTGTCTGTCCAGCCGTGTGTGCATGTGCCGAGGTGCGTCCCCTGTTGTGCCTGGTCGTGCCACGCCCTTACACGTGTGTGTATGTGTGTGTGTGTGTGTCGGTGCGTACTTCCCTGCTTGAGCTTTCTGTGCATGTGCAGGTCTGGGGTGTGGTGGTCATGCCGTCTCTGCGTGCTGGTGCCTCTGTTCAGTAGTGAGCAGTGTCTCGTGTCCCGGTGCCCTTCCTGGAGGCCTCCCTTTCTGTCCCCTCCCCCCGGAACCCTGAGCCACGGTGGTCCTTCCTTCCTAGCAGGCTACTCTGCCCACCTTGTGTCAATACCACTCTCCTGCATTTCAGACGGTGGAACCAAAGCTGGCTCAGTTGTCCATGGCAGGCTAGGCTTTTGGGTCCCAATGTGAGGGAGGGGTGGGGTGGGCAGGGAAAGCATCTTGGCAGAAGTCTTGGGTGTTGTGGTCAGCGGCAACCATGGGAAACGAGCCAGCCTAGGGGCATCATCCTCAACAGCATCAAGGAAGGGCCATGGAAGGAATTTGAAGCCCAGATCTTGGGACTCAGATTGGAATGTCACACCTGTCTTTCATATCCCAGATTCTGGAAACAGCAGTGTATATTTTTGGTGGTGGTGGGTTTAGGGTGGGAAAGGGAAAGGGGGCTAAGAAGTGGGGAGGGTGTCGGGTGGGAGGGAGGCATCTGCATGGGTGTTTTACTGGATTATCTGATCACGGTGGAGGGAAGATGTGAGGCTTGCACCCACTTCAGGGGCCTACTAAAGGGAACAGCCTGAGCCGAACCTGATATTTAACCTGAGAGTAGTATTTAACGACGTCTAGAAGCACGGTTGTGGGTGGTGGTTTGGTCAGCATATCTTAGGTATATAACTTTGAAGCCATAACTTTTAACTGGAGTGGTTTTTTGTTTTTTTCTTTTTTTTCTTTTTAATTTTATTGGGAGGGTCTGGATTTTAACTTTTTTTAATATTATTAAGTTTTTATAAAAGGAAAACCATCTCTGTGTGATAATTACCTCTCAATCTCTTTGTTTTTAAAGAAATCCCTACAAAAACAACCACAAAAAAAAAAAGTTCCAATCAAGCGCACATAGCTCAATCACACTGGAAATGTCTGTCCTTGTACCTGAGCCTGTTCCCACTCAGCAGTGAGAGTCCCTCCTTGCCCCGGGGGTTAGTCTCTCTTGCACTCTGCCCATCCCTCCCCCCAATTCCATGAGTGGTGTTTGCGCTAGGGCCGCAGCCTTTTGTGCATTGTCCAGCTGGTCGTACCTTCTCCCCCAGGCACTCACTCAAAAAATGTTTGTTGAGTGAATGCTGGATGCCAGGCATTGTGCTAGGCGCCAGGAGTACAGCTATGAACAAAACAGGCTTGGGTCCTGCTCTTGGAGCCCTGAAAAAGGAGCTGATCCAAGTTAATGGGTGCCTGTTTTGAGACCAGAATTTTTCCTAACGATACTTGGTTCTGAGAGCCTTTTTGAGCCTGGAATGATTGCTGTTATAGAAGACCACCGAGGAGCAAGGATGCCCCCCCCCCACGCCAAAGAGACCGGTGGTGGGCATGAGAGGCCCAATCACTGCATTCTTGTGAGCCCCCTTCCTGCCCCCAGGGAGGCATATTATGGATGCAGCCTCAAAGCACCCCTGCCTCCAGCCCAGCGATTCTCTGCCAAAGCTTGTGGAGGAGGGGGCAAGCCCTCTCCCTGCTTACATGTCTCCCCCATGCCCCTGGCCTTCCTATTTATTTTCCTGATGTGTTGCCTCTTTCCTTGCATTAAAGGAGATCCCTTAACCCTTTGGGCCAATTTACTGGCTACTGACTAATTTTCCTTGAATACCAATTGTGTCATCAGGGGTACCTTTCCCCACTCCTGCGGACCCCCCACCTCTCTGCCCTGCAGCAGAACCTGGCGGTTTCTAGGTGGTAATGGGACTTAGACTCCTGTGCCCCAGTCACAACCAGCCTCTGGGGTCTGCCAATACTCCTCAACCCAGGGACTCCCAAGCCACTAGCCCACTCTTCAGGTGGCCCCTCTGTCCTCACCACACCCCCGGGGAAGACTGAGCAGGTTTTTGGGAAGCTCCCACCCTCCCCACCGCCACTCTTGACACCAAGAGTTAGGAGTTAGAGCTGGGGAGAAACTACAGCCTGAAGCCGTGGTGTTTGGCCCCCTGAGGCTAACCCTGATCTTAGGGCGACCTGCACCTCTCGATTCTGGATTCACAGACCAAGTCCAAGCCCGTTCTTAAGTCGCCATCAAGGCCCCGAACGGCATTCTCGGTACTTCTGTTTGTTTTTGTACATTTTATTAGAAAGGACTGTAAAATAGCCACTTAGACACTTTACCTCTTCAGTATGCAAATGTAAATAAGTTGTAATATAGGAAATCTTTTGTTTTAATATAAGAATGAGCCTGTCCAATTTCTGCTGTACATTATTAAAGTTTTATTCACAGAACTCTTCTGGTGCCATCTGTCTTCCATCTGCGACTGTACCCAGCTGTTGTCAGGGGAGTTGGGCATGGGCAGATGTTCTCAGCGTTTCTGCCTCCCACTTGCTGGGGCACGATGTCAACACCAATCGCAGCAGGTCACATCAGAAGAGGAGCTGATCTGCTCATGTTAGGTTTCCCTGAGACTGTCCCTCTGTGTCTCATGGAGGGAGGAAGGCCTCGCTTGTGAGAGGGAGCAGGAAACACCCTCCCTTGGGCTTTGCCTGTATTTTGTCTTTTACCATCTTTCTCTTTAGACAAAAGAGGGTCTTGATCCTTCTTAGTCACAAAGCCCCTAGTCTTGAAAACAGCCTAAGAGCTCTCCTCAGTTTTTGCTTCCCTCTCCTAAGTTGGAGTATAAATGTAAATTTGGGGATGCTTAGGTGACTTGGACATGGGCATCTCCAGTGGTTCCTCTGGTATTTTCAGTGTGTGAGTGGCTGTGAATTCCTTTCTATCTCCACGCTGGTGGAACCGGGATAAAAGTCCTAGAATCGTAGAATCTCACGTTTAGGTGGGACCCTAAAGGCCGCCCAGTCTGCCACTTGACTCCCGACAGCATCCCTGCCACTTGGTGGTGGGCTCGTGCTGTAATGCTCAGGACTACAACTTCCGCCTGCTGGCCGTCTGTGCTTATAGAAATCTCTTGTGTCGAACCCGGCAACCTCCATGTGACTTCTGTCCACAGGCAATTCAGAGCAGCTTTCTCTCTTCCGTATAAGGCCCCTTAAAATACTTAAAGGCAGCTATCATGTTATCAAGAATCTGGCAAAGCTTAGAATTTCTTTAGTTAATATTAGCAAATACTGAAAACTTATTGTGTGCTAAGCAATGTGCCAACATTTGCTTTACGTATATGAACTGCTTTAATCCGAAAACAGCATATGAGGTGGGCATTATCATCCTCTCTTTATGGATTAGGAAGTTTATTGGCAAGTAAATTGCCAATAAATCCAATAAACGTAGCTCACGGGTGGGAAAGACCTTGGGTTTAGGATGTCTGATCACAGACTGCAGCCCTTTAGCCCTTCCAACGTCCAGCCTCATGGGTCCATGCTCTTCCTCCATGCCGGCTGCACTCTGCTGAACCTAGCTGGAGCCTGGAGCCAGAAAGGCCACGTAACGTTCCACGCACACATTAACTGGCAGCACAGCCGAGAACAAGAATCCCAGACTCCGCTTGACACCTGCAGCTCACATCCCAGGGCTTCATCTCATGTCTCCGGTTGAGTAAAATCCAGCTACCCTCGCCTTCCGCCATCCAGTATAAGGGAAGTTGACCGCAAGTGCAGGACCTTATATGTTTACCCTGTTAAATTTTACCACAGAATCTGCCCATTGCTCCAGTCTGTCAGTATTTTAAAATTCTGATTGTTACCCAGTCTTTTCCATTGTTCTCCCACCTGAGACTGTTGGCTGGAGAAAATCAAGTAAATTGCCTCTAGAAGTTGGCTTTAAGTTTGGCATATATCTCAATAACCCAGATTAGCTGCTAATTAAATTGTCCTTGCACTCTGGCCATAATTCTTTTATGCACAAAGATAACAGCAAAAGCCCAGGTTTGCTGAAGTGTCAGGTAGTATGGCTTCCGCATCACTCTGATCTAACCTGTCCGTTGGAAGAAAAGGTGAGGTGGCTTTTAGCTAATCACAACCCAGCTCAAAAGCCGTCCTGTGAATAATTAGTCATCTTGCCAGGCATGGACCTATATAGTTCGCTAGGGTATGGACCGCAGGTTCAACATCATTCTGGAAATGAGAATGCCAACCATTCTGGCACCTCTTCATGTGCCCTGGAAGGCTGCTAACAGCGTTACACCTTCGTAAGGCCTGTGATAGGAGACCTGAGTTGACTTGAATGGTGTGTCACTTGGGTTTTTGTTTCACATGTCTTAAATTTCTGTTCCACCAGGCCATGTCTTCTGATCTTTGCAACCTGGAAAACATGCTTGCTAAATACAACCAAACAAAATTAGGAGTACGGTAGCAGCATTCAAGAGACACTCAGGAACCGTGAGGGTTGCAGAATGAAGGTGGCAGGAGGTGAGAAAGCTTTGGATCAAGCCAGGAATGGTGTATGAGGGAAAGAGAACCAATAAGATCAAGAGATAGAGAAAGAGATTTGAAGGAACTGACACAATTGTGGAGGCTGGCAAGTCTGAAATCAGGCTGACAAGCTAGAGTCAGGGAAGAACTGATGTTTCAGTCTTGTGTCCGAAGGCAGTCAGAAGACAGAATTCCTTGTTCCTCAGGGGACCTCAGCGTTTTCAGACTTTCAGCTGATTGGATAAGGCCCATCCACATTATGGAGGGTAATCTGCTTTACGCAAACTCTACTGATGTCAATGTTAATCACATCTAAAACATACCTTCACAGAAACATCTAGACTGGTGTTTGACCAAATAACTGGCACCGTACCCAATTGAAAGTCAGGATGGGATTTAAGGAACATGGCAGGTAGCCTTGGGTCTGTCTGGAATGCTCCTTGGAAGCCAAGGATGGGGGCTAATGGGGTAGGAAGGTTTAAGGAACAATTAGGTAGACTGGGCTCTAAATAAATTATTATTCAATAATAAGCACTTGTTGAGCAACCTCTGTGTAAAGCAGTAGGCAGAATACAAAGAAGAACAATCTGATTCCTGCTCTTCAGGGAAGAGGGAGGATTTATACAGAGAGAACAATAAGGCAGATTTTGGCAGGTCCCATTTACAGAGCAATCCATGGAAGCACAGATGAGGTGCCTGGGGAAACCAAGGACAGTCCCTGCCCTCCAGGGGCTCCCTTGCTGGTGGAATGGACTAGTACATAGGTAACTACAATGGACTGAGATAAGTGCACTGATAGGGTCAGACACATGCCCTGGGATCACAGGACAGGAGGTTGGGGTCAAGAGAGGTGACATCTATTTTGGAGTAGACATTGGCCTGCTGACTGAGTAGAGGTTTTAGTCAAAAAGTGTGTCACCATTCAAGATCCACAGACGGTCAGTATGGCTAGAGCAAGGGAACCAAGGGCATAATGAGGGAGTCTGCTGGAGCTGTCATGTACTGAGAAGGTGAGGCTTCATCCTGGGAGACCACCAATGCCATCACTTGCCCTGTGACACTTACCCCAGACGGTGCTCCTCTATCAGTAATTTTTCCTCTTGAGTCTGGACTTGGTCTCCAAATCTTCCTCAATTAGCCTGCTTATGTGGAGTTGTCCCATAAAACCTCTTTGTCGTTCCTGATGTAGGGGAATAGGCGATTTAAAGCAGGGTTCTAAGCAGGGGAGTGATGTGATCCTGTATGTGTTTGGGGACAATCACAGTGCTGACTTTAGGAGGAAATTGCAGTGGTGGGAGCAGGAACAGCTGGAGGACAGGGAGAGATGGTAGAATTCACAGGCGTAGGGCCTGAACAAATGCAAATGGTGAGGGAAAGAGGGGAGCTGACCCGTTTGGAGCACACAGGAGAATGTGAGCCTGCTGCACAATGCTGTCCCCCTGGGAGAGGGAACCAGGGATGAACCACCAGAGCAGCTGTGTTTGCCAAGAGGGCGGAGATCTGGGGAGCCTGGGGCCCTAAGAGCTGTCATTTTCTGTCCTAGCTATCTGTACCTATTCTGAAATGAGGCAGGGTAAAATAAACATTTATTTATTATAAACATGTCTCTGTCCTAGAAGCGGTGTGCGGATGTTGTAAGGAAAGCTGGAGAGGTAACGCGTCCTTCCTTCTGCCAGTCTAACATGTTCAAGTCAGAGACACCCTGCCATGCCCACCCAAGAGGCAAGATGGTCCCTGGCCTCTGGGTGGGACTAGCCTCAGAGGCCACCATATCCAACATAAATAAACAGCCATATCTGCCTTGTCCCTACTCCCAGACCCCCTAGAATCAAGTCTTTGGGTTATAACCGATCCCCTCTGCTGCTGGGCTCCCTTGGGCCCCAATACCACACATAGACACTATCCTGTAGAAACTTGAGCAATAGGAGCCGTTAAGAAAAACAACCACTCCCTGCCCGTCAGCTGCCCACCGGCTGTCCATGTCTCCCTCAGTGTCATGCAACTGGGGGCCCAACCCCTCATTCCTGACCGGAGAGCCAGCTGAGTCCCAGGCCCTCTCCCTCCCACCTCTCCCGCTTAGAAGCAGTGGCAGTGCCCACAGAGGAGCCTGGGTGGCAGACTCAGTCATCCCTGCCAGCTCTGAGATGAAATGACTGCTAGGGCTCTGATGCTGAGCGAGACTCCAAGAGGGTCCCGAGCTTCTGGAGCTCTTGCTCCCAGTGCCCCAACTTCCCTAGAGCTTGAGCCACTTTCCCCATTTCCTCCACGGGAGACCGCTGCCTGTTAGGTATCTGGGCAAGGACTTGTGCCAAAGAGAAGGGGTCTTACCATCCCCCTGGCCATTATCCGAGCCCCTGCTGTCTGTGCCCCCAACACCTGCCAAGCCCTATCCGGAGAACTGGGAGCCAGGGCAGCTAGGGCAAAAGGAAGCCAGACCTGGGGAGCTCATTCTGAAAGACAGGGACTTACTCTCAGGAATAAGGTACAGATTGAGTGCAGATGTCTGAGGAGCCAGAGCGATGGGGCTTTTGCAAGGAGGCTTCCCAGAGGGAGGAGAGAGGAGGGAGAGGTGTCCTGGTATGAAGTTGCCGGCAGCGAGCATTATGCTCCCTCCCCGCCCGTTCCCAAGCTTTTAAGGAGCTACAGAAGATAGGATAAGGAGAACAGATTCTAGACAACAGACTCGGGCTTAGGAGGAAGTCGTGCAGGGTTGGAAAAGGCAAAGCTTTAGGGGCCTTGTGTACTGTCTGGCGCGTGGAGATTATAGCACCGAGACGGCCCCACCACCTGTCAGCCCTCCTGATGAATGTCACCTGCGTGAGGGCAATGCTGGCTGGGATCCAAACACAACTTCCTAACGGTGACAGGTGTGAGATTCCAGAACTCGGGTGACTAAAGTGGAGCTTGGCTTCTCAGGTGAACACAGACCCTCTGGGGTGGGAGAAGAGTGGTGAGAGATCTGTAGACCGGCTGGGAATCCAGGGGGAGTCTGGCACCAGTCTTTCAATCTGATTTGAAGATTTTCCACCAGAGACTCATGACCACCAGAGGGCATCACCACCCCATGATGTGGCGTCCTGGGCTCACCATCGCCTCCCTGGAGGAGAAAGCAGGCGTGGGTCTCTGAGCGCTCAGGGGAGCTACCTGCAGCTGAATTAAACAGTCTCTGGAGTCAGGAAACCTGGGGTCTAATGGATTCTAGTGCCTGTTCTGGCACCATCTTTACCTCCGTGGCCCCTGTTTGCTGCCTCTGCTAAATGAGGGCTTGGACTACCTGGTATCTTTCTCGACCACAAGGCCCTTTCCAGCTCTGAAATTCCAGGATGTGGGGAAATATGCCATGAGCCTGACAGAAACTGCATCTCCTGGGCCCACTCTTATTCTGGGGTTGTCTCGGGGCTCTCTGCCTGGCAGGAAGAGGAAACTTGTGTGACCTTCACTTCTCTGGTGGTGGTCTCTCACTTGCAGGCAGGGAGGCAGACTGACTTGCATATTGAGGGGAGGAGTCTGCCTCTACTTCAGCCTGGAGGAGCAATGTCTCAATAGGGCTGCGTGACACAAGAGCTGTGATGCCCATGGCGTCCACTCCTCTGGGTTTCCAGCAAGGAGGTGTCAGTTAAGTTCAGTGGTGGCCCTTCCCAGGAGAGGTTGTACAATATGCCCTCTTGCAGGTCCCTTTTGGGATAAGCATGGAAGTGAAGAGAATAGAAACCATCCCCTCTCCTGCCTTTGCTTGCCTCCCCACCCCCACCCCACCCCCAGCACAGATGCCGTCTGTCAGAAACAGGCAGCAGACGGTCCAGGGGTCCATCTGTGCTAATGCTTCACAAGAGTCCCATGTTTCCCCACTGACACCCCCTCGGCCCCTCAGCTGATGGCCACTTGGTGGTGCCAAGGGGAGAGATGGGAGGAGGAAGAGGAAGGCACTGAGGGAAGGGAGCTAGCTCTTTGCTCCCGGCAGTCCCCAATCCACCCTCTATCCCCCACCCAACAAGCATCCTGCCATCTGGACTTGTGTAATCACTGAGGGGTGGAGAAGCACCCCCTCCCACCCACACCTCCTGTAGGGCTGGAGCCCCAGGGGCCTGGGGGTGGGGAAGAGACAGACACAGAAAGTCAAGGAGACAAGGAAGCAAGGAGACGGAGACAGACGGGTGAATGAGATAGACAGGAAACAGAAAGCCTTTCTTGGCTGCCCCAGGTGGATGTGGTCACTTGTGCCTCTGAACTCCTCATGCCAGCTGTCTAACGTAGCACGTGTACATGTACCATTCCCTACCAGACCAAGAGCCTCTAACCCCAGTGCCTAGCTAGGACCTGGCACGGAGCAGTTCTTAAAAGCAGGGTGAGTGAAGAACTGAAGAAAACAACTTTACATGGTGTTCGACTGCAGGCTCTGGAACCAGGCTGCCTGGGTTTGAATCTCAGCACTGCCACTGAGTAGCCCACAGCAAGTTACTTAACCTCTCTGGGCCTCCGTTTCCTCGTCTGTAAGGGATGATGATGATACCTATTTCATTGGGTTGTTATGAGGACCAAACGTAAAAGCGCACACAGGACAGGGTGCACGGCACATGGTAAATGCTCAATGAATGTTAGCTATAAAGGCGTAACACAGATTTGGGAAGATGGGAGGAGGGGACAGTCAGGGACAGTGTATCCCAGGCCTCTGTGTAGTGGATGATGTCAGGACCTGGAGCCCCCAGCTTGTGATGCTGACGCCCTGTGGTAGCTAGCCGCTCTTCAGACACCAGGCCTGGCCTTCCACTTCTTCTTCTCACTTCTTATTCGGACACCATTGACGACAGAGACTTCAGCTGGGTCATTCCCGCCTCTCCCGTGGCCCGGCAGCCACAGGAACCCAGCCTTGGGGATTGTCCCTAAGGGTCAGAGAATGGCCGAGAGCATACCTCAACCCTGAGCACCGGCTCAGTTCAGGCACATTGTCTTCCCCGGGAGTCAACCCCATAGTAAGGATCTGTCTGCTGGGAAACGGGTATCTGAGTTCCAACATCAGAAGCTGAGGAGAGGTTTCTCCAGGAGGGACCACTCCTGCCCCTCTGAGGGGACAGGGCAAAATTAAGCCCACTGCCTTCTGGGTTTCCACCGCTTCCCTTTCGCCTTGACTTGAGAAGAGGAGGCAGCCTCTCTCACCTCCACTGGGGCAGCTGTGTAAAGGGGAAATCCTGGGCCCTCTCACTCCCTGGAAGTCTGTTCAGGGGCATCTCCTCCCTCCAGGGACTTCCCTCCCACCCACCATACTCCTTCCCCTGCACAGCCCTGCTACCTCTCTCCTCTTGCCTAAAGTCTCCTGCTGTCCCCAGGATCTTCTAGAATCTTCTCCCCGGGTTTCCAAAGCTGCTCACGATGACCCCTTACTGTCCCTCCACCAGATGCTCCACGAGTCTCCCGAGCTATCCATTCCCAATTTTTCAAATCTCACCCACAAGCCCCTTCCTTGCCCACAAGACCCTTGCTCACAAGCGCCTTCACAGACACGAG